TGGGAGCTAGTCAAATTTCCAACACACATAAAAACTACCAAAGTGAAGTGGATGATCAAGCTGAAGCACAATCCTGATGGTTCGATTGCAAGACATAAGGCAAGATCAGTATAGTGGTAGAAATGTTGAGACTAAGCCATTGGATTGACTTAACTCGTACAGATCAAATAAAAATTGTCATCGCGCTTTATTGTTTCCAAAGGAAATGGGAAAAGATCGAATAAACCCAAAAAAGAGGGGGGGATCTAGGTGCGGGGGTTGGTTATGTAAAGGGAAGGTATTAGAACCCTAAACATCTATGGTACTATGCAGGAACCTCTTTGAAAATCTATGTATTTTGGATATAAAAAGTGTATACAAAATAAGATGGTGGAGATGAGAAAAGAAGTATTCTTTTTACAATTTTTGCACCCTTTGTAGTTGCGATCCTTTAGTGCCTATGTACCACCTTTCGTGCAATAGGGGATCAGGGTACTCGTATTTCACCTTAAAAATTTTAAAACACATGTGTGTTGGTTAATTTTAAGAGAAGAGACATCATCATCATATCTGAGTAGAAAACATACTTACTACCCATAGTTATGAGAAAGGAGCATTTGTTTCGTGCAATAGGGGATCAGGGTACTCGTATTTCACCTTAAAAATTTTAAAACACATGTGTGTTGGTTAATTTTAAGAGAAGAGACATCATCATCATATCTGAGTAGAAAACATACTTACTACCCATAATTATGAGAAAGGAGCATTTGAGTCATCTCAAAGTGGAGGATATAACTTGGATTTAAAATCCCTCACTCAATACCCAAGTGGTAAATATCTCTCTTCACTACATATCGTAGAAGTATAGTATTTTGCGTCACTATAAGAATTGACAAGAGTCTAATATTTTGAGAAAAATTTTTTAAGTAAAAATCTAAAGTGGAAAAATAGTTTGAATGAGGTTAATTGACTTTTAGTCTTGAGAAAGATGTTAAAGTATGATTAAATTGATTAAAGTTTGATTAAGAAAAGATTTTGAAAATGCATGGACCTCAGTCTTAATTTATTATAAAAGTAGTTCAAGTTAGAAAACAAGAAAGGTAGCATTTGGATGCTTGAGAAAAAAATGATTAAAGTTTGAAATCAGGAAAAACACACGGGTATTTGACACTTAGAAAAATTCTAAGTATGGAACTTCAAAATAACCTATAATGTTCTTCAAAGTTACATGTCCTTCCACTCAAAATTTGATCTTGATCCTTGAAGATGAAATGAAGTAGACCTCTTGAATTGAATTGTGTAATTCAGATCATTCAAAAATAATAAAAAATAAAAGAGTTATAGTCTTTGGAAGATGATGAACAAATTTGGGGAAATTCACAAAAGACCTATAATCTTTTCAATTATTTAATAACTTTCCAAGCATTTTCAAGTCTTGCATATTGAAACAAAGTTGTGGTAGACACCCAAAAATTTATTGTAGAAAAATAATGAGCTCAAGGAGATAAAAATTGACCAAGTTATGATTCATTGAAGTCACACAAGAGAATTTGATATCCTTTTCAAAGGACTTGTAATCTTCTTCAACCATTAGTGATCTTCCATTAAAAATTAGCCTTAAACCATTGAAGATAACTTGTTAAGGAACCTTTAAAGAGCATCATGTCTTTGGAATCAATAAAAAAAACTTAAAAAATGAGCAAGATATGGTCCTTGGAAGTCAGCAAACCCTAGCTCAGAGAGTGTCAAAATAACTTGGAACTCCTTTCAATTTTTTATGATTTTCCTTGCATAATTAGATCTTGTCATGCAAAGAGAAGTTGTTATAGATGGTGATAATAACCCATAGCAAAAATAACCAACTCAAAATATTTAAAATTGATAGATTTATGCACTTGTGACCACTAAATCAAGTACTTGCTCAATTAGGTCAAACTTGTTGAATCAACCTTGAATCTTTTGATTTTTCTTTGCAAAATAGAGCATGATGGATCATATTAGACCTTGAAATAATGTTTTCTTGAAGCACACTCCAAGGTGGAGCTTAAGTATCAATGAAGCTTGTTGAAGAAGGCATGGAAATAAACACATGAGACCTATAAATTTTCTTGATGAATACCACCACCAACCTTGAGGAAAACTTGACCTAAATAATGGTGAAAGAGCTCTTTGAACCAAAAAACTTTGATATCATAGATATAGCCTTGAAGCTTAAGCTCTTGCAATCCATTGAAGAATCATTTGACTAAGGACCATCCCTCAAAATCCTAGGTTAGATGGTGAGATGGATGAAATTGTGTCATCACCTACAATATGAACATTCAAAGAAACATATATACATATTTTGATGTTAGTTAAAAATTAAACCAACTAAAAAAACACATGTATAAGATACACAATTCAAGGTGCTTGGTGATCCCTCAAGAGAAAACTTAAAGGTATGATGAAGTAGAAGAGAGAATCAACGCTAATGTGTGATCTTGATGTATTGATAATATGAGATAATGAGATATCTTAGAGGAAAAAATTGGGATATAATAATTTGTTGCTTGAGGATTTCTTCAGATAGCAGGACTCGACTACTTTGAAGCATATGCATCAGTAGTAAGATTGGAGGCTATCAGATTGGTGGTAATCTTGGCATGCAAGCAAGGTTGATCAACATTTCACTTAGATGTGAAATCAACATTTTTGAATATTCCCCTATATAAAGTCGTGTATGTCACACAACCTCTTGGGTTTGTGATACAAAAGGAATAAAGGAAAGTGTATAAGTTGCACAAATCCCTCTATGGTCTCAAATACGCACCTAGGGTATGGAACAAGAAGATCGACTTATACTTAGTCGAATTGAGATCCAGCAAATATATGTTTGAGTATGGTATCTATGTACATGTCATGGAACAAGGTATAATCATTATTTGTTTATATGTCGATGACTTACTAGAAATTGGGAATAGCACGAAGAACTTGTCGAAGTTCAAAGAGCTGATGAAGAGGGAATTTGAAATGTCAGATCTGGAAACTTGTTATATTTCCTAGGTATGGAACTTCAAATTACTAAGCAAGGTATGGTGTTGCATCAAACGAAATATGTCTAAGAAATACTCAAGAGATTCTGGATGGCTGATTCAAATCCTACATCCTCACTTGTCGAACCAAATCTGAAATTGGAGAAGCATAGAGAGGAGGAAAAGATCGATTTCACATTGTTCAAACAAATTGTAGGATCTCTGAGGTATGCGTACAACAACAAAATTGATATAAGTTTCTCAGTTGGGTTGGTAAGCAGATACATGGATGAACCAAAAGTATCACACATGATGACTGCAAGGAGAATCCTGAGATACCTAAAAAGATCAATAAACTGTGGAATCTTGTTTTCACGAGAGTCTAAAAGTAAAAAAAGTTGTGATTAATTGCTATTTATATGTGGATTATTGTGGAGACAAGGAAGATCGAAGAAGCATAACTGATTATTTCTTTTAGGTATTTTGGTGCCTCAATCTCATGGTGCTCGAGAAAGCAACTTGTGGTGGAATTATCATCATGTGAGACTGAGTATATATCATGATTCTATGTTGCTTGTCAAGCAATCTAGAACAGATTTGTGCTGGATGAGATGGAGGTCGAAGTAAAGAAACATATGGTGTTGTAGATCGACAATAAATCAGCCATCAATCTTACAAAGAATTCAGTTCTACATAGAAAGAGTAAACACATTGAGGCTAGCTTTCACTACTTGAGAGAAAAGGTAAATTAAGGTGAACTCGAAGTAAGACATTGTTCCAGCGAAGCACAATTGATCGACATTTTTATCAAAGAATTCAAAATCGACAAATTTCTTACATTGAAAAAGAAATTATGAATAGTTCAGATTAATTATAATTAATTTGTATTTAACGACTTAGATCATAAGAGGATATGTTGAAATATAATCCAAATTAATTAGTTAATCGGTTGATTAACAAGTTAGTTACTATTATATATACATGTGTATAGTGTAATTCAAGAACAACTTTTCAATATACAATTACTTTTCATTCTCTCTATCTGTCTCATTCCTTCTCTAAACCAAATGCATCGGACTCTAACATCTATCACTTTTATCATTAAGCATTTTAAGAAATCATCTATTAAAGCATTATTTGGGTGCACGTCTTGAAAACTTCGCTCTATTACCCTTTAATTAATGATTTCAAAACTACCTTATGCTCGAGTTATTCAAGTTATCATCATATTTTTCTGTTCAATATAATGCTACATAGTCAGTATTTTGATCATCTGCTTAGTGACCGAATTTTATCCTTTGAAGAAGTTATCCTAGTGACCAATCAATAAATATTTAGAAGATTATTTTCTAAAGAATAAGTTTGATGATTTTCATATCACGTATTAAGAAACAACTAACAATAGTGTACAAGGAACAAAGGTACAAGTTGTGCGCAACACATAGTGCATGACAACTAACACAAATAGTGCGCGACAATTCTTGCTACAAATACAAGATTGTGTTATATTACTCTGCTCTCTTATACAACAGAACATAAAGGCTTTTATCTTAGCGTTTAGATCCTGCCACGGTCTAATTAATGAAGTTCTATACAATTTCAAATTCTCCAAAATTTATATACAAGACATTCGATATACAACAATTTCAAGCAACTTGGTCTGCAAAAAGATCAACAATTTCAAGCAATCTTGACCTGAACTTCGACATTCGATACCAATAATATTTTTTCATACAATAATTGTCAATCTTCCTACCAGATTACACTCTAAAAAGATATCATATGGCTTTTGTTTTGGAATACTGCTACAATTGAACTGTAAACAAAATTATAATTCTAACTGCCGCCATTACATTTAGACATGTCTTTAGTACCTCATCCAACGTAAAAGAGAAAACAATATTATGTAAAACTACAAAACTTTTCTTTCTCATTAACCCAATCAAAAGTTCAAATAGATAGAAACTATTCCGTCGAAGAGAAAGATATAGACATTGCTAACTAGAATGTTCACTTTTTCCCTTGCGTGTTCCTTTTCAACCTTTTTGTTTTGTGCTTTGACTTGCGGTTTTGTTTTGGAGATAAATGATTATCTGCATTCGCATTTTTCCCAGCAGAAGGGATGTCGCTTGAAGGAAAATCTTCTTCATCGGAACTAAGTACCAAGTCTTCTACAACATCATCGTCAACGGCTGTTCTCTCTTTCTGATGCTTTTTCCTCTTTCCTTTTGTTTCAGTAGGTTCTTGTTTTATCCTGAAAGCAAAGCATTCCTCAGATAAAAAGTACGGCGAAATTTGTGTTAATGTCATCATGTTAGACATGTGCGTGAATGTGAATGATGTGTGTTAGTAAAAGAAGAACATAGAAAAAGAGCAATACTTGTCTTTTCCGGGTAACCAGGATGAGCTAAAGGCGGCAGTTCCATCCTCGTCTTCTTTAGCATCCTCTTCTTCATCACTTGCTGATGCTTCATCGCCAAAAACAGATGACTCTTCTCCAACAACAACACTAGAAATTTTGAAGTTATATAAGAAACTTTTTATCATAATAATGGGGGACACAGTAATCCGTGCGAATGAACATGATTTTAAAGTTCAAACCTGGATTCCATTAATGAGTTGTTTTTTTGTTCGGCTCTCTGACGGAGTGTTATAACATACTTTGATAGTGCACTAGAGGCTGACTTCTTCTCATCCTAATAAAATCAACTTCACTATTTACAATTCTCAAATATAAATAGCATTTAAATTAAAGCACAGCAGTGAAACTGAGGCAAGAAATAAGCGGGTGCTTGTGTGTGTGCGCGCGGGTGCGCATATGCGAGCTTAGCAGTATTGAAATATGGAGCAGGCTACAATGTAAATAAATAAATGAATTAAAAAAGTCAACCAAGATCCAACAACGAAACAATCAATACTCTCATTCCCCAAAATTAAAGAGAAAACATGAGCAAACCTCAAGAAAAGATGATGCCGCAGGATCATTAGGTAGAAAGGAAACCGACATGCGCTTTTCATTCACAAACTGGACATTAGCCTCAATCTGAGTGAGGAAAAATTGAATATTAGAGATGAATGCCACAAGATCAGATGCATGCCAATGATAAAAGTAAAACATAAAAGGTTTATGATCATTTTAATATATACCTCACGTAAAAGCTGCCTCATTTCTCTTCGAAACCTCTCAACTTTGGTCAATTTGCAAAAGCTACGCACCCTCACAATTGGAATAAAGGATAACTCCATGAATGCAACAGAATAACTCCACAATGCTAGGTGTTCCGCAAGTTCTTCAACAACAGAAAAAACACAAGCCTCTTGAAATGCCCGTGTCTTTAGAGTCGGCTTGCTAACCTAATACGAAAGAATATCTCCAAGGTTAAGTGGATTTCAACAAATGCACATTATCATCAAGTCATGTTATGATTACCTTCAATATGCTGCGTAAATCAACAGCTTTGCCAACACCTCCTGTAGGGGGTCGACTCAACTCTTTCATCTCCAGCATATCCAAAAGAAGCATAGATACTGGTACAAATGATTGGGTAGAAGCAGCAAGCTGGTTCAGCATCCGGATACATCTCAACCTAAGGGGAATATATCTAGCTGTGGGAACTAGACGGGCTACCCCAGAAATTATTTGGGTCAACGGATATGCAAGTTGCTTAAAGTCAGATTGTGAACTGTAAGCTCGGATAGCATCAGTCCAAAGTTCAAGACAGTTAATGAACTTCCATTCATAAACCTTGCGAAAAGCTTCCTAAAGAAAACATTCAGACAGAGAAAGAGCGACATAAGAACCATAACATAAAACTGTCGAAAATGCACAAAAAAATGTTTCAATTTGTGAAAAGCTTCAATCAAACAGAGTGAAACAAGAACAGGATGGTACCAAAAAAGTGCAGATCAGAAAATGATAGAAAACTATGCCAAGTTTGTTCGAAGTAAAACTAATTCAAATCCAAATATATTCAGACTCAGCTAGCAAGGATAATTCCATAAATTCAAAATGTTATGAGGCACTTCTTACAGAACCTAGGAAGAAAATAACATGCAGTAGACAAATAAACAGCACCTTAGTTTTTGTATTAAGTGCGTCCCTCAAAATCATGGCCAGCTGTCGGATAAAAATGAAGGCATGCTGATATGCAGTCGGAAGATCCACACCGAGAAGTTCAATGACGCAGTTACTAAGAAAACGAATGTGTTTAAGTTTCACAGCATTTACAAAATGGCAATTCAAAACATAGGCTTTATATATTCCTTTGAAGCATTCATCTATGCAGCCAGATCCAATACAAATGCATAACTCTCGCATAAATAGGCACGAAACAACCGGAAGGGCACCTCCACCAGTACCCCAGAAATGAAGAGCCACCTGATCAATTCAACAAGAAAGTGACTTACCAAATGAATAAACATATGTTAAGTTATATGTCCTAGAAAGCCATAACATCCCTAGCCAGAGGCTACACAAATTTCTCTACATTGAAGCTTTTTCATTCACATTAGAAGTATGTACTAACAAAGGAAAAGAACTGCATGCAACAGCAAGTTTACCAAATGCAATTATACTATTCTTAATCTTGTTTATGTAAAGGAAAAATGTATCATTATTTCGTTGAAATTTCGGAAAGTTTTAGTTGATTGTTGTCCATCTTTTAAGCTGATTCATTCATCAATTACTACACAAGACCGAAGGGTGCCGCAATCAACTAGCATTGGCGGACATATTCAGCACATAGCCACAGACTTTAAAGTACTAATGTTCATAGATGAGGTGAAATAATTTTGAAGTCAACATTGATTAGATGATCAATGAACTATTTGTACCTTAATGTATTTCCTTAGGAGCGAAGGAAAAGCAGCCAATAACACTGAAGAATATTTAAGCCGGTGTAAAGTAAATGATATCATTTGCGAGTCAGTCATTTGATTCAAAATGTGGAAAGCATTTCCAAGGTAGGACTTCACTATATGGCCATAAGTCCTCCATTGTTTTGTGTTCATCAAATCTGTTACGATCTGTTTTCTTCCCCCGGTAGCAGGAATCTTCAACAACTTTCTTAGTATTCCATCCATTTCATTAAGTACAGTCAACATTATTTTGTTGAACACGGCGCTAGACATTACACTAAGTTTTGCCATAGACTCATTCTCCTCATCATCCCCATAGTGGCATGCTGTCCTAAAAGCCTTTATCAAGGAACGAACTGCGTTTAAGCTCCCGTTTTCTTTAATCGATTTGCACCACAAATCAACCATAGCAGTGGTTATAACTTTCTTAGAAGATTTTTTATCCTTTTCTTGAACCTCATGCTCAGTAGCTTCCTCATCTGCATGTAGATCTCCATCTTCCATGTCAGCATCCAAATCTTCCTGGAAAAAAGAAGCAAAACAGTTATATAATTTATAATGCTAAGAAATTGTCGTATGAATAATAGCAATTTTGTAATGCACACAAATAGGCACCAAATATAGTTCTGAAATCCTACAACATAACAGCAGAAGGTGCAACTTTGAAAATATGACCGTTCCTCTTCAATGAAATTTACCAAAAACACACAAGAGACGTCCAAATTTCTCTATCTATACTAAACGGTAGATCATAAGTGTCAACTGTCAAGTAAAACCATCAGGGCGTGTAGCTAGATTACAAGAGATCCAATAAAGACTATGTCTCGACCCACGTATCTTCTCAAAATCTAATTGGAGAACTATAACTTGAACTTAAAAGATAAAGGTATAAGATACAAATCCCGAGAAGCAAAAATTTAACTTGCAGTGATTGGTGGGTTGGTGGTTCAATTCAACCATTATGAGCTAAGCCATATTGATTTATATTTCCTTGCATTGTGCCAAAAACATGTCTCTAAAAGGAAACACAATACCCCCATTTAGCCACTGCAATGACCTTTTTGGATGAACAATGTAAAGCTTATTATTAGCTAAGAAAAACTTCCCCATGTCAAAGAAAGCATTAGAAGATATTACATATTATTCATGATAAAACGCATCACAGAACCATATTCATCAGAAATTCACAATAAATTTATGAAGCAAAAAACAGGACAGATAATATATAGAAAGTGTCTAAATGTAACATACATCAATATCGTCATCACTGAACTCAAGCAGCTCCTGGTCATGCTCTTTCAAAAATTCATAGAAGTCTGGATCCTGAAACGGAAAAAAGGTTATTGATAACATTGCTAACAGAATGTAGCCGAATAAATATATAAAAGAGAATTCCCTAAACCCTAAACCCCTTTCAAAAACTCGTAAAAGTTTGGATCCTGAAATGGAAAAGGTTATTGATAACATTGCCAACAGAATGTAGCCGAATAAATATATAAAAGTCAATTCTCTATCAACCACCATCTAGTTCAAACTTCAAACACAAGCATTTGCAGAAACGGATTACGTAATCAAATTTCAAAACCTACCATTAAGGACATGCAATAAGAGTAAGTATGGGTTTGGTTTTGCGGTGAAAAGAATTGATTTTGAATGAATTGATTCTGTAAAATTGATTCTAGCTAAAAGTGAGTAGAAGATAAAGTGATTTATGTTAGGATAGATTTATGTATAAATGAATTGAACAGTAAATTTCAATGTAAAAATCACGTTCAAAACAAAAGCTACAAATTCTAGCTTCAAGTAGAATCAATTATTGAGGTAGAATCAATTCTACTTTGGAAGAACCAAACACCTCAATATCATTGCAAAATGAATTCTACACCTCTAAAATTGCTTTTGCCTCTTCCAAAAGCTAAACCAAACATACACTAATTTCTCTAATAAAACTATACAAATGTAAACCTAGAAAAAAATATTGTTTTAAAGTTGAAACTATGGTTGGTTCGGCGGTGAAAACAAATTGATTTTGAGAAAATCTATTCTGTAAAATTAATTATGGTTAAAAGTGAGTTAACTGTAAAGTGATTTTGTTTGAATAATTTTATGCAAAATCTGAGTTGAACACTTAAACAGTAAATTTCAATGTAAAAATCACGTTTAAATTTAAAAGCTACAAATTCTAGCTTAAGGGCCTATTTGGATAAACAGCTTATTTGGAGTTTATAGCATAAGTGCTTATCAAAATAAGCACTTACGAAAAAGCTTACATAAGCTATTTTTCTAACAAAAAATAAAATTATTTTTAGATGTGTTATAAATTGTTTTCATAAATCATCCTTGAGAACTTATAAAAGTAAGCTGAAAAAAGGAAATGAATAATGCTATAAGCTGTTTTAATAAGCTCTTCCAAACAGTGTAACAAAACCCATAACATAAGATAAGCTCAAATAAACCAATCCAAACAGGCCCTACGTAAGTAAATTCTACTTTAGAAGAACCAAACATCTCAGAATCAATTCCAAAATCGATTCTGCGTCTCTAAAATTACTTTTGCCTCTTCGAAAAGCTAAACCAAATATACACAAAAACTTATATTTAGGTATTTAACTAAAGAGCTATGAAGCACGGACACTTCAAATACGGCTGACACGGATAATAATTTTATAAAAGGAATAAATTAAATGATTACAAGGGTTGGTGCATGTGTCCTACACAAACACGGACACTGTTTGGTTTGTTTTCAGAGGTGTCGGTGCTACATAGTTAAAGAGAACCCTTGAAAGCAAAGCTACATACAAGTTACTAATATGTACTGAGAAACAACAATGGGGGAGGGTTTAACCTTTTGCTGAAGACTTTCTAGTTGCCCCTTGTGTTCTTTTGCTCCACTCCCAGTCATGGATTTTTTCCTGCTCCTTCTTCTTGCATTACTCTCTACATCCATATTCCTCTCTAGTATAACCAAATAAATTACCAACGAAATAATAAACAATTGAGACACATTCAAAACCCTAAGTTTGAAAAATTGAAATAAAATAATCAAAAACCTGTATCAATTTCTGCGTCCATGTCTCTTGAGAGCTATGTTATTACCACTGTACGGCAGGTTAAGAGATGCAGAGCTTCAGGGCTTTCGGCGGCGGGACTGAGAGAGAAAGAAGTGCTTCAGGGCTGTCATGCAGTATTTGTATTTTGTATTTTTTTTTTAAACGAAAACCGAACCGGATTCAGGTCCGATTGCTCTCTAAAAAAATCAGATAAACCTCTCATACTCAGAAAACCGGTGAACCGGTTTCGATTTAGATAAACCAGACTGTCTAAAATATTTTTAAAAACTAGTAGAATATTCATGGATTTGCAAGATAATATATGCATATTTGTTCCGAAAATATAGTAAAACAAAATAAAAAAATTTTAAAAGAGATAATAAATTGATACTTATAATTGTTTTAATATATAAAAATATTTGAATTATATATATATATATATATATATATATATATATATATATATATATATATATATATATATATATATATATATATATATATATATATATATATATATATATATATATATATATATATATATATCCTAACAATGATTTAATATTTTCATTAATATTTAATATTTTGATCAGTAATTTCATGTTATCGTTAATATTTAATATTTTGATCAGTAATTAAATATTTTCATCAATATTCAATATTTTGATCAGTAACTTTATGTTTTCGTTAATATTAAATATTTTGATTAATAACTTCAGGTTTCTGTTAATATTTAATAGTTTCATCAATAATTTCATGTTTATGTTAATATTCAATAGTTTGATCAATAACTTCATATTTTCGTTAATATTTAATAGTTTGGTCAATAACTTTATGTTTCCGTTAATATTCAATATTTTGATCGGCAACTTCATGTTTCCGTTATTATTCAATATTTTGATGAGTAACTTTATGTTTCCGTTATAGTTTATTATTTTTAAAAGATATAATAAATTGGTTTCTATAATTTTTTCCGTACATAAAAATATTTGAATTAACAGTATAATTATTCATATATATAAATATTTTTGTTTAGGAATTATTTGTAAAAATATTTAAATCAATATTAAATTTATTATTTAATATTTAAACCAATAGTTTAATATCAGTATCATATGTGCGGATCATATCGGTACCTATGCTTTAAAAAATAATAAATTTGAATTTGAATTAACAATATACTTTATCCCGTCTATAAAAATAATAAATATTATTTTTGTTTTGATATTATTTATAAAAATATATGAATCAATAGTAAAATTAATCTCGTTTATAAAAATAACATTGTTTAAAAATATTTGATGATAATAAAAATATTTTATAATAATAAAAATCTTAAATTAATAAATTATAGTAAAAAACTATTCAAACAGATTATATAATTCAATTACTAATAACTATTTAATATAATTGATTCAAATCAATTTACAATTTATATTAAAAACTATTGAATATAATTTTCATTTTTATTAAATTTAAGAGATTTGAAAACAGAGACTTTTAAAAATAAAGAATAAAAAAAACAAAATTAATTAACCAAAAGAGTTTATTATTTTTAAATGAAAGACGTATTTTTAAATGAAATTCTGGACCAAAATATAATGAGGAAATATGCACACCCTCCCCCGTACAAGTAGCAGTCACCTAGATAAAATACTAGACAATCAAATTCAACCCACAGAATCAATACCAACTAAAAAACACTAAAAACAAAACAAAAATGCACTTGTACCAAAATAAATCCTCAATAAGCTTTTAAATTTACGACGGCACCTCGTCGACAGATGGAACTGAACAGGGTGTGCAGTGATACACGAGCTTGACAGCAGGCCTCTACAGGTTGGGTGCGGCCGAAATATAGCTGACATAAGCTCCCAAAACCAACAACAAAATTCAACTGAGCCAGCCGACCAAAGCAATGTTAACTGAATAGTAAGAGGAAGAAAAAGAAGGAAGAGAAAAAATGCAACAACATACTCACAGGGAAGTTCCAGAGAAAAACATCAATAAAATCATGATTTTTGCAACAGCAGTTGCTCCACACCTTGCTGCATGTTTTCACAATAATCATCTCGTTTAGTATACCTGCTCCATATCAAGCCTTTTATTCTCAATGATTGTTTTGTTGTGAATCATGAATATCAACAAACTGGGACATCCCTTACTCATGCACCTGAAAAAATGTTCAAGATGATTTTATTACTCATATGGTAAATTCTTCTAATAATCAAAATTTACATGCTATTACAAGGCACAATCAATGCCAAAGATACAAAGTTATATGTTACAAACACCAATCTAAAAAACACCAAGCAGAATAAGAGAACAGATATAACGTCCCTCTAAATGACTCCAATCACTAACAATCTAAGCAAAGGTAAAAAAAATAATGATGTTGTAGAATAACAGAAGCATAACATAGTAGGCATTTAATACACACAACAACTTCTTAAAGGTTCCTAAGCAAGAATATTGTTTTAAAGACATTAAATTGCAGCAAACAAAGTATCCCAATTTCAACAAAACTCATATATTATCAAAATAATGTGTGGTTCAAACTTCCATATACAAAATTGATCGTACCTGATCAGAAGGGATTGTCAAGGTCCACGAGCTTTGAGTCGAGTAGTAGTTGAATGTGAAATGAGAGGTACCTGCAAGACACTCTGATGCCAAAGTGAGGTTCAGAGTAAGTGCAAGCACGTATGAGAGTATGGGTGAATGAATGAATACCTGACCCTCTCAAGTGAGAGGGTATTTATAGCCCCAGTGATGGGCTGAGGTCTTCAGTGATGGGCCATGATGAGACCTAACAACAAAGACTACCAGGGTTTACATGTGTATGGAGTCTAGCATGTGGCATCCTTCCTGGTCAACTTCCCCGAGAACGCAGGAGAGTTGGGCCTGTTATTCTCGGAGGGCGGGCTGATGACGATATGGACACATGAGTTATGTTCTCCTAGTGGACGCGTGGGGAAATGCCCAACGGTCCTAGGTTTGGGCTGCATGCTTTTGGGCCTTTGTAAAGGCGCTGGATTGGGCATCCCCAAAGGTGGGGCAAGTGTCGGCCCATTCCAGAACAGGAGCCCCCCAAGTTATTGCCCTTAGGTAAATGGGTGATGACTTTAAATTAGTTCAAGTGTCGAGGAAGTGTTGCCCGAGAGGGGAAACTGCCAACTCCCATCGAGGATGGCTCTGTGACTCATGTCGAGGATTCATAAAACTCGCATGTGGTGTGGTCGACCAGCCAAGGGAGAAGTTCATTGGTCGACTTTGTTTTCTGGTTATATCAACGCGATGCCTGTTAGGGACCTAGATTCGCGGGGGTGCGAGGAGTTTCCTCGAGCGCTCGTCTTTGACGTGCCCATATGTATGGTGTTCTAATGACGTCGAGCATTTTCCCTCCATCGAGAGTGGAACGTTATCGATGTGCCCGTATGTAAGGCGTTGTAATGACGTTGAGTGTTTGCCCGCCATCGAGAGTGGAACATCATCAATGTGCCCGTATGTAAGGTTTTGTAATGACATCGAGCATTTGACCGCCACCGAGAGTGGAATGGAGCATGCACGTCGTTTTATGCGAGACTGTTGTGGATGACGTGTCATCTTGCCAGCCCTATGTGGCAGTTGTTTGGGGTGCCAAAATTTTCCCTCCCTTTTATTCAAGACATTCTCCTAGGGTTCTCAAATGGTCAAGGTTGCTCAAGAATTGATCAGATAAACTCTCTTCCTAAGTGTGATACGGTGGCCAGAACCGGGACGTGGTTTCCCTATTTCGTTAAGGAATTTGCTGGTTTGCGTTTTGCGTTTGTTTTTGCAAAATGTCGCGGTAAGCAAGAGTCGCCATCGACTTTTATTTTATCCAACAAGGAAAGGAAAAAAAGCACAGAAAAATTCATTTTTTCGAGATATTTCTGAGTACGGGGGTGGATTATAGAAAGGGAAGGTATTAGCACCCTTTCTATTCGTAGTTATCTACAGGCTCTTAGGTACTTGCTCATCATTTTCAAAATTGTTTTCTTTGTGTTTGTGTGATTTGAAAAGCTTTTGTTTTAACTTCGATTTAACTCTTGCTTCTGTCTTCAAGAGTGTAATGAAGTGTTTTTGAAAACTTTGTTTGTAAAGGAGTGTAAGTGTGAAAAAAAAGTTTGTTTTGATTGAGCAAGTACTTAAGAGCTAATCTACCTACTCAAAAAAAGAATCGTTCTATGCTTGTTTCCTTTAGACAATGTTATCCCACTATTAGTGAGTAGGTAGCACCGTCGTTGGAGTTTGAGGGTCAATTCAAAAGGGACGCACGGTCACTAAAGCAATGTTAGGACGTCTTAGTAATAACCCTAATGTCTTAGATCAATTATTCGAGGCAACAATTCCGAGGCAACCATTCCGAGGCAACTTTTCTGAATCGGGACTTTGATCTTTATTTAGACATAAGGACAACCACTAAAGCATCCTATACTCAATGACCATTTACCGAAGGAAACCAAGTGGGAGTGTACCCTAGGAGTGTGCATGTGCGAATGATTAAATTTCAGTTTATTTATCTTTGCACATTTAGGGTGATCTAATTGTTTTAAAATTAATCATACATTCTTGTCATGCATCCCTATATCATACATCTAACAGTTAATAATTTGCGGAATTTAAAGTGCGGAATTTAAACTATGCTATTACAAGGCTTCAGGTATTTACATAGCCAAAAACAAACCCTTTGAAAATAAAGCGATAAATGTAAATAAACGTCCTAATTAAACTATTATAAACTGTAGGCAGTTACATCAATATGGTAAATAATAAAAATAAAGCGCGCGAGAAGAATTAAGATCGACGAGAATTTAAGGTTTTGACCCTTCTAACCTAATTAAAAAAAATTGTTTTTTTATTGTTTTTAATAAAATAAATAAGTTTTCTAAATTAAATATGCAATTAATTAGTTAATTAAATTAATTAATAAAAATAATTACATGACCTATTTTGGTTTCTTTGGTTATTTTAGGAAAAAGTAAAATATAATTAAGTTAG